GTCGCAACAATGCCATGTTTGCATGTATTCCATGTCGATTGCATCTCCAAGTGGTTGTCAAACAATACTTCCTGTCCAATGTGTAGATCAATTTGCGCTACGAAAGTTCCTCTATAATAATTAGTTTTGCCTTTTAAATGTTTCCTTCAATGTACTGACAGTAATGTCATGCCCCCTCTTAATTCATTTTGTGTTTCAAGGGTGCCATTTTGGTTCTAAGGTCCATCTTGTCTTTTGTTTGTTATATATACACACTACTACTCCTTCCGTTTTCGTAATCCGAATGTGTTCTTTTTAAAAAATTTAATTTTAATTTTTATTATATTAGTAGTGAATAAATTACTAGATTTATCTCTAATGATTCATATTAATGAGATGGTTTATTTTATACAAGAAGGTTAAATTGGAAATATTATAAAAGTAATTTATTGACTTTTCAAATGAAACACTTGTTTTAGGAGAGAGAAAAAAATGAAATTTCTTTTTCTAAACTTTTCTAACACAATTAATACAAATTAATCAGTCTTTTCTGACTCCTATGGTGGATTTCTAAGGTAAAACTTATAGTTGTGAAATATAAAGAAGTAATAAATAAATGTCCAGTTTTAACATAACATTGAGATGTGGAACACGAGAAGAGACAGGGGCTCAATCAGATCTCGTGATCTTACACCCAAAAATAAAAAATAATAAAAATCGCCTTTTATTAATTTGCATCTCTCTCTAATGAGGTTCTTAGTTTCATTCTAATGAGGTGATTAATTTTGGATTGGTACTTGTATCTTTGTATTCATTGTGCGAAAATAGAATTGAGAAAGACATGAAAAATAAAAAAAAAGAAAAAAAAAAAGAAAAGAAGAGATGCAATTTGTTCGTGCCAAATGTCTAGGTAGGTTCATCTAAATGAAATAATCATCAACATCATTGAAGTTATGTTTGACAGTTATAGAATTAAAATTTTGAAATTGAAATCAATGGAATTGAAAAAAATAATTCAAAAAATTGAGTCAATTTTTTTTATTTTATTTTAAAATTCTATCAATTTCAATACTCAGCCAAACACAACATGAATAACTCTAGGCCAAATGATACGCACAGAAGGTTAGGTAGTGGCAAACTTGTGGTGTTCAATCGATAGATTTTTGTACAGATTTTTTTTTAGAATTATTTTATGCCTTTAAATATAAATATGTTATTTTGTTAATTATATACGAAGTATAAAAAAAATAAAATGATTTGTAAGTTGGGTTTATTTGGTTAGTCTTTTGTTCATTCTTGAAAACTACCGGACGGCCACGTTATCGGTGACTGAAATTAAACTTCGAAGGCGTAACATAGCTTGGGGCATGAGGCGGCGGTCGGCGACGGCAATGACTACGGTTACATTCGCGGCGTCGATTATATAAACTGTAAATTGCTTGACTACACTTGCTGTAATTTTGGGTATTTAATCTTTCTCTGCTTTTTATTTTTATTTTTTTAAATTTCTTAACCCAAATATGGAAACCCAGTTTTAGGTAGTAAGTAATTGATGTTTGTGTTAGAACTGTCGATGAAGTATATGTATCTCAGTGATGTTCATAGTGTAGACGTACATATGGTACTTATATGCCACTCTCACCTCTATGATCGAAAGAGAATTACCCATTTGTCTCCAAAATTTGAACTCTTTAGTGAATGATAACTGTTCGATAAAATGCCTCAATTAATTTATCAGGTTTTGGAATTACTGTTGCAAGGCTATATTGTGATTTTAGTTTCATTTACAATTATCTCTGATTTTTTTTTTTTTTGTTTTTGTGGGTCTCTAAATAGATAATTTGACCAACCATGTACTATCCAACTGTCCAGAAACTAGGAAGAATAAATCTGTTTTGTTGAGCAAGCCTGCCATTGAAAGAAATTCTTTGACCTTCTTTTTCATGTACCATAGAGTTTTCTAGTTCGCATTTCAATTATTTAAATGGAGTATTGTCATTTTTTCCACTCAAGCATGGTTTGTGATGATGTAAGAGTTTATATATTGGTATTATTTATCCTGAAAACTACATTGCTCTGCTTTAATGTTTAATCTGTAATTACGAATGGCTTGTTTTAAGTAGTAGAGCTGCCTTGACGGACATCATTGGATGGTGTTCAATGGTATAAAACTTGGGATCAAGGGGGATTAAGGTTCTTATATTGTTTGGCCAAAACAAGATGCTTGAACTGTAAATGACTCAAAAAAAGCTGAGTATTGAAAGCTATTGGCTGCTTTAATTTTCAGCCGAAAGTAAACAGCATGAAGTGAAGAAGGCATTCCTTACATCCTAATCGTCTATAATCTATGGGTTGATATTTAATAGCGGACTTCAGTTACTTCAGTCTCTGGAACCTCTATAAATGGAGCATTTTTGCAGGGTTTTTACACTCTCATTAGCGTTGTTCACTGACTTGGGCGTTGCATTTTGTCAATGATTCCATTTATACTCTCTTGTGCATCCAAAGCATAAACACAATTTTTATTAGACTGGCAGATGATTGTGGTTTCTTCTTGACCTGTTTTTGGTTCACTGTGTTATTAATTAGAACTTCTTTTGAATTATTCATTTCTTGATTTAGATCCTGATTTCAAACTATCTTTCACTTTAAATCCATCAGATATCATGATTGTTTTACTTTTTACTTTTTTCTTTCTTTATATTTCCAACAGGAAATTCCTTGGTGGCAAATGCCATTTGGCTCCTGCAAGATAAAATCAAACAAGGACGGTTATGGCTATTGGATTCTGAAATTACCTTCTCTCACTCCCCTCCCCCACTCAATTTTAATTTTAAAATTTTGAAACTCTTTGCAGAATCCTTGACAATAATTTTTATTGCCAAACTTCAACGTCTCTCAGGAACCCCTACTCCCTCGGCTCCTCCTTAACCTGGTCTCTTGCCTGAGAAATGCACAACAAATCCTGCGACACGTAAATGTCTCCATTCATGATGGTGGTGCCCTTGTGCTGATGGGCACCAATGGCTCGTGCAAAACCACTATCTTGCGTATGTTAGCTGGATTCTCTCGACCCTCAGCTGGTGATATCCTTTGGAATGGTCATGATATAACAGAATCAGGGGTTTTCCACCAGTATAAGCTTCAGCTCAACATGCTTTCCCTCAAGGATGCGATCAAAGACAAGTTCACAGTCCTCGACAACGTTCAGTGCTTTGAAGTTCTTGAAGGTAAGCAAGGGAGGTCTCTGCCTGCACTAGAGCTTACGGGGCTTGGAAGATTGGCAAAATCAGGTCGGCTTATATATACATCCTTAGAATTAATCTTCAGTACTACATTTTTTTGGTTTAGAGAGAGAAGATGGCTATGGTTGAAAGGATCTATGGCACAGAAATTCAATTCTTTGAGGGGAAGGAGGAGTACATTTTCTGCAATGGGGTTTCAGAATCCAAAGGATTGTTGATGCTCTGTACATTCACTGGTACTGGTGTTAACCAAGTCATTGATGAAGTCCCATATAAGAAAGTTCGTGTTTTTCCATTCAATAACCTGCATTTACCATTTCGACAATCCTTACAAACAATATTGGATTCATCCATTCTGTCCACAAAAGTGTTCTTGGATTATAGTAATGCTCGTGCCCTATCAAAAGATACTGTTACGTGGTTAGTAAGTAATTTTCAATTTATTTTCAATCTTGGTTTGAGAAAGTCCAAGATCATCATCATTGTAAATGCTTATGTGGAGAGATTTGTTGACATCAATGATGGTGAAATTATCATGAAATTTTCTTCGCCTGACGAAGATTATTGTGATGATGATGATGAAGAAGAAGACGACGTTGAAGTTGAAAAAAAAGAGATGGAGACATCAACTACTTTATCAGTGGAGGAAAATCACGACCAAGAAGAAGAAGGTTCAGTGGTTTGAAGTTCTTGAAGGTAAGCAAGGGAGGTCTCTGCCTGCACTAGAGCTTACGGGGCTTGGAAGATTGGCAAAAGAGAAAGCAAGATGCTCTCAATGGGCCAGCGGAAAAGGGTGCAGCTTGGAAGGTTTCTGGCAATTGATTGGCCAATTGAGATTGAGGATGCAATGTATTTGAGGTTGCCACCAAGGTTTCCACGAAGGATGACTTTAGTAGACATGCTCGATCGAGCTGGTTTGAGAACTCTATCAGAAAATGTAATTAACCCCGCAAGAACTGGGATTGCACTAGGCCTTCTGGAAGGTGCAAAACTGTCCTTGTTTAGGGTATTATTTGTTGGTGATTTCATGTAATGTTTTGCTGGATTATAAAATCCTGACAATTTTGGATTTGAACCACCAAAATTGTCCTTGTTTAGGGTAAATTAATTTGTTGGCGGATCGCATGAAAAAAAGGTGAAATGGTTAGAAAAATATCGTATTTGGTGTGTTCACTGTTCTCAAGTAAGTGGGAATGTTGACATTTTTATAAATTCCCATTCCAAGTTGTAGAAATTCATCCCGGTTGACATCATTTTTATAAAACATAATTTGATTGCATTTTGAAACTGCAGCAAAATCAATTGAGTCCCAGAAATTAAAACATTGTCCATTATAGCTGTAATAATGAATGGTATTGTGGTATTGGAAGGCGTTGGCTTTTCCTATCAAATGATAAAAGCAATTAGTGTAGAGTTAGTGTTGGCTAATTGCTTTTAACTCATATTTTGTGTCTAATCTTTTTTCTTTTAATCAGGTTTTCTCTGCATTAGATTGTGTTTTAAAGGTTGTGTTTGCAGAATTAAATTGGATGAAATTAAAGAAAATTTTAACTGAGGCTTTTAAAGTTCCCAAACTCAAATTGGGGACTAGGGGGATTATTTGACTGAAGTATCTTCCATGCCTGGTCATCGTTTGTTATACCTAAATGACCAGAATATCCTTACACCGTGTCATAGAAGTCTGAACCAACCAGAAGAAGTAAAAAGGGCAAACAAGGAAAAGAAAAGAAAAGCAGGGCCTATAAATAGATGACTTGGGCCGAGCTGAGGGTTTGCACTCGGAAAAAGAATGAGGCTCGTTCAGAGGGATGGGATGTTTGTAAGGGTGGTTGCCCCTCTCTGTAAACGATGATCTCCTACAAAATAAGGGATGGGAGATCATCTAGAGCCAATGATTTCATTTCCTACAGAATCAACGGCCCTTTGTGTATGTGTGTGTGTATATATATATATTTGTGTGTGTGTCTGTGTGTTTGCTGGACTGGTGCATCTCCAATCCTTCTTCATCATCAACAACAACAACAACAACAATCAGCATTATAAGAGGCTGTGATGATATGTGTTCTGAGTGGATCATGGTGGCATTGAGAATCCGATCCGTTTGTTGGCGGGGCAACCCGGAGAGTCTGTGGGAGAACGAACTCGAACTCGAACTCGAACTCTCACAGGCAACTGTTGTTGCAGCCATGGCGGTGGGATATATTCTCTTGCCTGATAAAAAAACAGAACTGAGCCTCCCCATTTTTTCTTCTATACATACATATATGTGTATGTGAGGTTTTGTGAAAATGATCTTGGACTCTTTGTATTTTGAAGGAATTTCTTTAATTTGGTAATGGAAGTAAAGGAACACTTTATAGGAAGTAAGAATTGGGCTTTGCAGTATTAAGTCATAATGATTTTTGGTGTCGGTGATTTTGGCAAAAAATGGGTCTCATAATAGCGGGGTCTAAAAAAATTAATTATTTTGTAATTTTAATATTTAAAAACATGTAATCCAATTATATTATGACGTGTGGAGAGTATTGTCGTATTTGCTTAAAAAAAAAAAAAGTTTCAATTTTCAAAAAGATTTCCTATTTTGTGTTTTTACTCCGAAACCTTTTTTTATACACACACATCAATTAGAGGCCAACAAGGACAAGGAAGTTCGCAACTAAAGAAAAGAGAGGCGGTGAATATAACCTGATCCCAAAATCAGGTCGGCTTTATATATACATCCTTAGAATTAATCTTCAGTACTAGTTTTTGTTTTTGTTTTTGTTTTTGGTTTAGAGAGAGAAGATGGCTTTGGTTGAAAGGATCTATGGCACAGAAATTCAATTGTTCGAGGGGAAGGAGGAGTACTTTTTCGGCAATGGGGTTTCAGAATCCAAAGGATTGTTGATGATCCGTACATTCACTGGTACTGGTGTTGACCAAGTCATTGATGAATTCCCATATAAGAAAGTTCGTGTTTTTCCATTCAATCACCTGCACTTACTATTTCGACAATCCTTACAAACAATGTTAGATTCATCCATTCTGTCCACAAAAGTTTTCTTGGATTATAGTAATGCTCGTGCTCTATCAAAAGGCATCCTTACGTGGCTAGAAAGTAATTTTCAATTTATTTTCAATCTTGGTTCCAGAAAGTCTAAGATCATCATCGTTGTAAATGTTTATGTGGAGAGATTTGTTGACATCACTGATGACGAAATTATCATGAAATTTTCTTTGCCTGGCAAAGATTTTGGTGGTGGTGGTGGTGATGATGAAGAAGAAGAAGAAGAAGAAGAAGAAGAAGAAGAAGAAGGCAATGGTAGTGAATATGAAAACGATGAAGTTGAAAAAAAAGAGATGGAGACATCAACTACTTTATCGGTGGAGGAAAATCATGACCAATATGACAAAGAAGATGATGAAATTCCTGAAGTTTTGAAAGAAATTGAGGCGCCAATGAAGCTCATGACATTGATTGATGATGATAGATTACGAACATCTAGGTGTTCGATATGTCTGAAGGGCTTCTTGAGGGGGGCAGATATCGCAACGACGCCATGTTCACATGTATTCCATTGTAATTGCATCTTCGATTGGTTGCCAAACAATAATTCCTGCCCAATGTGTCGGTCACTTTGTGCTGCCATAGTTCATATATAATTAGTTTGTGCTACCATAGTTCATGTATAATTAGTTTATGTGATTTTGACTCTCTAATTAATCTTGTGATTCAAGAGTGAGTTTTTTTTTTTTTTTTTTTTCCTTAACCGGGGTGTTTGGGGATTTGTCTCTATTAATTTATGGAATTGACCCGTGCAAGGCACCCTTACACAAATCGAATAAAGTTTCGACTCAATCCACGCCCTTGTTTGCACTTTAGGAGGATTCAATCCCTATAACATGATTCTTTATAATAACTTTAAGTCAATTTTCTTTTTCTACCCTTCTTTGTGCATATATATATATAATATATACATCTTTTTCTTTGGCTGGTTAAGTTTATATGTGTCTATGTTTATAACACAATAATTAAAACAAATCAGTACTTGTTTCTACAGATATGATAGTAGCATTGAGTCCAGTAGAACATGAGAAGAAACAGAGGAAGGCTTTACATATAAGCACATGCAATTTAAATGAATCTGGAAAGTACTAAAATGTATGAATAAATGAGGACGACTTAACTCTCGTGCACATGCATTTTAAACATACTCGAACCACACACCTCCATTATCATTCATCTTTATGGCATAGTTTACTCTGGAGTTGGTACAAAATAATACATTATGTTTTTTTTTCTTCCTTTACAAAATAATATGTTAAATCACTTCCAAGTCGTTGAGGACAAGTCACAGCGAATTTTCATTTTTATTTAAGTTGGAAAATGATACTTATGTCTGCCATTCTAGTCTAATTATTGGGCTTAAGTATCATTTACCTTTATTAGTTTGTTTTGAAAAATATTTTCTTTATTTCGGTAATATATATATATATATATATATATATATATATATATTACTTTTTTGATATTTGATAAAGGTCTACAAGGTTAAGAATCAGTCCATCTGATGGGACATGTAAAATAACTTGTCAAAAATTAATAGGTAAGTTATTTTTGTTAACTTTTAATTTTTTTTTTTTCTTCGTAAATATTTATATATTACCAAACACAAGAAAATAAAATAATATTTTTTAAAAAATATTTTATATCTAAACAAAGAAAGCCTAAATCCAAACAAACGAAGCCTAAATATTATACGTTCTATAACATGAAAGGGCTGAGATGTTTTAGGCCTGCATTTGGGCCAGAATGTTATTGAAATTCGAGAACTGACCATAGACCAAACAAATCAATTAGCAGAAATGAATCTAAATTCCTTTTAAATTGTATTACAAAACCTGAAAGTTGAAATTATAAACTGTAATGATAGAGAATACTGGTTTCAATATCGACCTAATCTCCATTTAAAATTGCAATAGCAATATTTCTACTGAATAAAGGTATAAATATTTGTTTACTCAATAAGGACACTTGCTAGTCCCATTGATCACGACAAACTTGCAACAAATTTTTTTTTTTCCCCTTACTAATCATTTACTATTAACAAAAACTTATGAGAAAATATAACGTTCTGTATCAATCTTGATTGAAAATTTTCTTTCCAAAAGTTACTTTGAAGCTTGCTAGCAAACAAGCTTGAGGGAGAAGACACATAGATGTAGCGTGAACATCAAACAATATATAAGTCAATCCGGATAAAGTTAGTGTAAAATTGTAAACAGTCCATACGAATTGCGTATTGAACTTTAAAAAAAACTGTGTATTAATCAATATGGCAAACCATATATATTACTAATAATAGTTATGCATAGATGATGTTAGTAGATAAATAAAAATTTATATGTATTCCCTAACTATGCATAATAATTATATTTTTAGAATTATTAAGATGTTACCAATTTTAAGTGGATAAATTATTAGATGGCCGTGTTAAACTTTGATGATGAAATGTCTGGATGATTGATTGTCAAGGCTTAATTTATTTGATTTATCATTAGCAGAGAAATAAAAAAATTTAAAAATTAATAGATGACACAATATTTATTTGCTTTTTTTTTTTTTTTTTTTCGGTTCGAATCCCTGACCTCTTTTTGGAAAGTAAGAATCTTGTACCGGTAGGCCACAGGCCTATTGGTATAGATGACACAATTGAATGGGCATCTTTGTTATTTTCTTTAATTATTATAATATGATATATTTGTTTTGAAAAATGAAATTAATATTGATGCCACATAAACATTTTTATAATTTTTTCAACAAATGGATCATGAAAGGATAACCCTGTTAAGAAGAAAAAGTTTATGATTTTTCAGATTATATTTGCTCTTATACTTTGTACTTTATTAAAAATGAAAAAAAAAAAAAAATTTGTGTCAGTGTTGTTCAAGTAATTGGATTGATTTTTATGCTCATGCTTGCACCTTTTTTTTTTCCGCTAATAACTAACCACTAACTCCTTTTGTTTTGAAAAAAAAAAAAAAAAAAAAAAAAAAAGCATAATTAAAATAAAATTTTAGTCCTAAAAAATGAAATGGACTGCAGTTAATTTCCTTTTAATAATTGTGGGAGGGGTACAAGTGTGTTTCTTAAGTGATGTGTAACCTGAGGTTACTTGGTTAGTCTTGTTCATTCTTGGAATTCACCGGACGGCTACATTATCGGTGACTGAAATCAAACTTCAAAGGCGGAGCATCGGCTTGGGGCATGTGGCGGCGGTCGGCGACGGCAATGACTACGGTTACATTCTCGGTGTCAATGAGGTATATGTATCTCAGTGATGTTCATAGTGTAGGCGTACATATGGTATTTATATGCCACTCTCACCTCTATGATCATCGAAATAAAATTACCCATCTCGTCTCCAAAACTTGAACTTTTTAGTGAATGATAACTGTTCGATAAAATGCCTCAGTTAATGTAGTTATTCCAGTTAGAAAAAAGCTACTAATTTATGTTTCTTTCGATGAAGTCAATAGAGCATCAGGTTTCGGAATTACTGTTTCAAGCTATCTAACCTATGCGGTGATTTTGACAACGAACTGACTGAAAACCATTGAAGTAAATGAGTCTGAGTTATTGACATGAGATAGTCTGGGCTCTTTTGTGATTTTAGTTTCATTAATTCAGGCAATGTGTTACAATTATTTCTATTACATAGCTAGTAGCTAATTTGCCCATGAATGTATAGTAATCCAACTGTCAAGAAACTCGGAAGAATGAATCTGTTTTGTTGAGAAGTCTGGCATTGAAAGAAATTAATCGACTTCTTTTTTATGTACCATAGAGCTTGCTAGTTAACATTTCAATTCTTGAAGTAGATTATTGTCATTTTTATTTACACTCAAGCATGGTTTTGTGATGATATAAGAGTTTATATCATGGTACTATTTATCAAGAAAGCTACATTGCTCTGCTTTTAAGTTTAATCTGTAATTACGAATGACTTGTTTTAAGTAGTAGACCTTTGCCTTGACAGACTTCATTGTTTGGCCAAAACAAGATGCTTGAACTGTAAATGACTCAAAAAAAACTGAGTATTGATAACTATTGGCTGTTTAATTTTCAGCCGAAAATAAACAGCATCAAGTGAAGAAGGCAATCCTTACTTCTCACTCTACTATAATCAATGGGGCCGATATTTAGTAGTGGACCTCTGGAACCTCTATAAATTGAACATTTTTGCAGGTTTTGACATTCTCATTAGTTTTGTTTGCTGACTTGGGCGTTGCATTTTGCTAATTGTTCCTTTTATACTCTCTTGTGCATCCATGGCATAAACACATTTTCTATTAGACTGGCAGATGATTGTGGTTTCTCCTTCACCTGTTTTTGGTTCACTATTTCTTAATTAGACCTTATTTTGAATTGTTCATTTCTTGATTTAGGTCCTGATTTCAGACTATTTTCCAATTCAAACCCATCCAAGATCGTGATTGTTATTTTTTCTTTTTCTTTGGTTTGTTTTGTTTATATTTCTAACAGGGGAAATTCCTTTGTAGCACACCAATTAGCTCCTGTAAGCATAAAATCAAACAAGGACAGTTATGGCTTTTGGATTCTGCCATTACCTTCTCTCACTTCCCTCCCCCACCCAGTTTTAATTTTGAAATTCCTCTTCACAAAATCTTTTACCATAAATTTCCATTTCCAAACCTCAATGTCTTTCAGGAAACCCCCACTCCCTCGGCTCCTCCTTAACCAGGTCTCTTGCATGAGAAATGCACAACAAATCCTGCGATACGTAAATGTCTCCGTTCATGATGGTGGTGCTCTTGTGCTGATGGGCACCAAAGGTTCGGGTAAAACCAGTTTCTTGCGCACCCTCAGCTGGTGAGATCCTCTGGAACGGTCATGGTATAACTGAATCAGGGGTTTTCCACTAGTACAAGCTTCAGCTCTCCCTCAAGGATGTGATCATTGATCAAAGACAAGTTCACAGTCCTCGACAATGTTCAGTGGTTTGAAGTTCTTGAAGGCAAGCAAGGGAAGTCTCTGCCTGCACTAGAGCTTATGGGGATTGGAAGTTTGGCGAAAGATAAAGCAAGAATGCTCTCAATGGGCCAATGGAAAAGGGTGCAGCTTGCAAGGTCACTGGCAATTGATCAGCCAATTTGGTTGTGAGAACTTCAGTGGCATTGGATACTGAAGGGGTTAAGTTGCTGGAGTATATTATTGCAGAGCACCGAAAGAAAGGAGGGATTGTGATTGTGGGCACATGCACACATCTGCCAATTGAGATTGAGGATGGAATGTATTTGAGGTTGCCGCCAAGGTTTCCACGAGCTGGTTAGTGAATTGAATTGGTAATGTAATTAACCCTGCAAAAATTGGGATTGAACTATAAGAGGCTTTCTGGAAGGTGCAAAAGTTTAGCAAAAAACAAAAGCTTTGAAAGGTCTAACAGGGAGAACTGCAGTCCTCAATATGGAGGCAGTTGCTTTGCTTGAGAGTTGAAGGAAATTGTAGTTTCATTCTGCATTGCATTTCAGAACAGCGTAATATATCATTTGTTGGTGATTTCATGTAATATTTTGCTGGATTGAAAAATACAGAGAATTTTGGATTTGAATTTCCAAAATTTGCATTTAGTAGGGTAAATTATTGGTGGCTGGTTGCATGACAAAAAGGAGAATTGACTAGTAAATTATCAGTTTTGGAATGCTCTTCATCAAGATGATTTCAGAGTTGGATAAGGGCCAAAACCTATTTTGATTGCATTTTAGTAAATTGTTCTATTTTATGTTTAAACGACAGTACGGACAAGAAACTTTTTTTTTTTTGTTTTAAAGTTAAGGACGGACAAGAAAGTTGCTACCAAAGAAATATATTAGTATAAATCTTATCATTGAGTAGAGAAGGAAGCGTCTCTCTCTGATCCTGCATCCATTTTCTGGCTCACTAAGAACCTAAATCCTAATCCGAAGAATTGAAGACCAAACCACCACCGGAATCGCGACACCACCCTATCCTCATTCTTTTATTCTCTTTCCCCTCTCAAACCCTAACCCAAATAAGCAGCCAAGGCTCTGCCACTGCCGAACACTGTCCCGAACTACACAGCCACCGGTGCAAAACCCTGTCCACCCAAAACCTCCATCACCGCCTACTGCAAACACCACAACCACCACCCAAAACCTCCACCCATCACAAATCCAAACCCCAATTGAAAAAAAACAGTGGAGAACCCAGGTCCCGCCGTCATTCTTCTTCTAGTGCTGGTCCTGTAAGGAGAGAAACAGGGAGATGGCAGTAGTTGAAAGAATTCGTAAAGCAGATGCTCGTGTGTTCGAATGGAACGAAAGGATTTTCAATAACGAGGGTTCAGAATCTGAAGGAATCTTGATGATCAGTGTATCAACTGATATTCTTGTTGGGGATGTCAAGATTGATTTCAGAATAAAGTGAAGGATATCTTTCTTCCATTCCGTCTCACAACTTATTTCCTCGAGAATCCTTATAATCGATGTTCGATTTGCCTACCCAATCCCAGAAAGTTTTCTTGCTAGACACTAATGATCTATTCTATCAGCACTTTTAATTAAGCACCTTGTAAGTAATTTTCAGTTTACCACCACAGTAAATTCAAGAAAGTCCAAAATTGTTTGTCGTGGTTGATATTTTTGCGGAGAGTACTTTTTTTAAAACCACTTCTTCCCAAGATTTTCGTAATGAAGAAGAAGAAGAAGAAGAAGAATGCCAATATGGCAACGTTGAAGATGAAGAACAAGAGATGGTTTCCTCAATGGAGGAAAATCAAGATCAAGAAGATGATGAGGACATGGACTATGATTCAATGGATTTAAATGTTGAAGAAGAACATGAAGTTGACTGTGTTGATGATTTAGAACAAGAAAATGAGGATGAGGACTTGATGGATTATAACAATAATGTTTCAAACTATGCGGAGGTGCCAAGGAATGATCATTTGGAAATTATAAGCACATTAAGGTCTGGTGAACCAATATTTCTTTTCAAAGATATTGAGACCGCAGTGAAAGTCAACTGATTGAACAATGATCATACCTCACCATCAGTAGATAATTGTTCAATATGCCTGCAAAGGTCCTTGACAAGGACAGAGATCGCAACCACGCCATGTTTGCATATATTTCATCTTGATTGTTTGCGCACTTGGTTGCCAAAAAACAATTCTTGCCCAATGTGCCGATCACTTTGCTCTACCATAGTTCATATATAGTTTATGTAAGTTGTTATGGTATTAACTATTTTTGTTATTCAATGGATTGACAATTCTTTAAATTTAGTGATCTATTTGTATCTTTTGTGTGGCAATTTTAGGTCATTTTTTATTTTCTTGAATTTTGGGTGGAACATCTATGTTATCTTTTATGTTTATCAAATTTAACACTGTAATATATATAGTGTCTGCTGACTCTTATCATGTATTTTTTTAAGGTGAAGCAATAAAGTAAGTAATAAGTAAATGTCCCAAAGTCTATTCATTAAACAATTTTACATGGCAAAACATGATTTTCTATGTTACATTCGCGGCGTTGATTAAATAAACTGTAAATTGCTTAACTAAACTTGCTTTAATTTTGGGTATTTAATCTTTCTCTACTTCTTTTTTTTTTTTGGCCCTCGAAAAAGACCCAAATATGGAAACCCTGTTTTGGGTAGTAAGTATTTGATGTTTGTTTCTGAACTGTCAAAGAAAGTTTTTGTTCGAGGTGTTAGAAGCGAAGCCTGTTTTTGATGTCAGTGTAATATATGTATCTCAGAGCCAACAATGTAAATGTCTCCATTCATGATGGCGGTGCCCTTGTGCTGATGGGCACGAATGGTTCAGGCAAAAGTAATTTCTTATGCATGTTAGCTGGATTATCTTGACCCTCAGCTGGTAAGATCCTCTGGAATGGTCACAATATAACTGAATCAGGGGTTTTCCACCGGTACAAGCTCCAGCTCAACTGTCTCTCCCTAATGTATGTGAGCAAAGACAAGTTCACATTTCCATACCTTGCAAAACATTTCCATACCCAAGATTCCCTGTCTGCACAATTTGAAAAGTAATGAGTTGTCCACGTCAAATTTCCAAGCATTTTTTGCCAAAAGAGCTAGATTAAGGGCTTCAACATTCCTGAAATTTAAGCCACCCTCTTCCTTTGACTCACACAGTTTATCCCAAGAAATTTGTCATTCCACTAAAAGTTCATAATCTTGCTTCTCAAAAGATTGCAGAAACTCATAAAGCACTGCACAGAGAAATTCGAAAGTGTGCAGAGGACTGATGTCAACAAAATTCGAAAGAGTTTACACTATAAGGTGTACACTAGTGGGCTGAAATTTTCTGATTTTGTTCCTAACAGAAATACTGCTGCAGTTTGAAGCATTCCTTGCCATTGCTCTTATTGATTGATGCCCATCGACACGTTGTCTTGTTTGGTCTACCTATGCGCTCTTGGTGATTTCACTGCATTCTCGTTTAGCTTCAGCAAATAGTAAGTCCTCTTCCACTTCTATTTTGTCATCATCTTTTTGACTTGAAGTGGATAATGTTTGTGACAGAAATTTATCTGATTAGCATGATTACAGTGAAAGAAGTTTGCAGTCCCACCTTGTTGTGTTACTAAATTAGAGAAGTTTCTATTCACTCCTTATTTAGCAATTTAGGTGAAAATGTATTGGGAAACACATTTTCTGTTGAATATAGGGGTCATACATTGTCTTGTACACTGGTAAAAACTCAGACCAACAAGTCTTTGGTTCGAAACACTTCAAGTCTTAGAGGAGCCACTTTGTGTAAAATAACACTGGGAATATATTTTATTTTAATTCTTTTTTGTTGAATTTGTAACTAAAGCTAGCAAGAGAAAAAATAGCTCACCGATAATTTCCAAGAATGCTCACAGGTAATACCATAATCGCATGTCTTACCTCATCATATAAGAAAACCTTCTTTCGTTCTTCATCCCAATTCTTAGTGTGTGCATGGGTTTCAGTTTGCTGCTGAATTCCTGTTAGTTTAACTTTTAACTTTTTTGTTTCTAATCTTGTTTGTTTCTAATAAACTGTGTGTGTATATATTTTTATTTTTTTTGAGTCTGCGGTTCATGAATCATGGTATGGCTTTCCTCTCTAAGCCTTTCATGTGTGATGGACTTTGTCCCCAAAGTATGCTCTGGTCTGTGTATTTCCTTTTGAGTTGTAGCACTGGTTAAGCAAAATTCTCTTCTTTTTTTTTAACTCTTAAGTAACTGATATTTACTATATATTCATTATTGAAGCAAAAGGTTTCGTATTTAAATATGCCTGAACTTCAACTTCTAGCTGTTTGGATGGTTCTTCTGTATTCCAATTTGCAGGTTGTTACCCCCTTCAGACTAGCTTGCTTCATCTGTGGCCTCTAAGCATCCTTGTGCTCCTTAGCTGCAGTCCTGTTGAGTTAAGTTTCTTTTGTTTGATAATAGTGTTATATAATACTAAAGGTTAGGTTTTTTTCTGCTGTTCGCCTCCCAGCAGCCAACGTAGGCGTAATGCACTGGGCAATGTATTTTATTTTATTTTTTTTTCTGTTGAATTTGTAACTAAAGCTGACAAGAGAAAAAAATAGCTCAAAGATGATTTCCAAGAATGCTCACAGATAATACCGTAACATCATGTCTTACCTCATCATATACACCCAACCCCCCCCCCCCCCCCCCAAAAAAAAAAAAAAAACACTATTGCTGCAGTTTGTAACATTCATCCCTCTTATGTCCATGGCCTTAGCCTTATTGGTATACAAATCATTTTTTTGTACAATTATTCACATATTTATCTTGTTAGGCTGTTGATATTTCACTGCATTCTGGTTTAGTTTCAGATTTCTGGGGCTATATCCTTGATGTCCATGGCCTTATTGGTAGTTTATCGTTGTTTTGGTGGTGAGTTGTAGTTTAGTGTGTGCCCTGGTTGTTTGTTTAACTGTAACTTTTTGTTTCTGCACTTGTTTGTTGCTCATTAACCCTTTTTTTTTTTTAGTTTGTGGTTCATGATATAGCTTTCCTCTCTAAGACTTTGTCCCCTGTGTATGCTTTGGTTGTCAAACATTGTGAGTGATTTTGCATATTGTTTTTGTTTCAGTTTCTTTTCATTTTGATTTGTTGAATCTAGTTGCAGCACTGGCTAAGCAAAACTCTCATTTTAGGCTGTGAATCATTCATTGTGCATTGGCCTTGCTCTTTTGGAATGTTCTTGTTAGGCTATATCAGCTGCATTCACAAGCTTGCAGTATCTTTATCTATGCAGACCTTGAACATGCTTTAATATTTGCCTTGAAGCAATTTTCAATGACCCTTAACATTGTTTGCATTTGTATTATGTTCTGGATGTGAAATTGTCCAAAATTTTCTTTCTTTTTTTTCCAGTCAGAGGATTTAATGTCATTATTTCAACTTCTTCTTTTTCCCCAAGAAGAATAACAGTCCATTTCCAAAGCCTCCAACAACTCAGAAGGCCAAATATCCAAGTCACAATCACCCCTTTTAGCTTCAAGAGCAATTCTGCTCACACAATGATCAGCACCATTGCAACCTCTCGGATAGCAGTAATAGGTGTTGTCGCAGAAGAAAAAAAAAACTTTAATATCCCATCACATTCCTGCTATATCCCCAAGTCAGTAATATCTTTAAAGCTCGTTTATGAACCAAAATCTCTGCTCGCAGTACTCACATGATGCAGAAAATCTGAAGCCACTTTTAAAGCTAAGCCTCCACCACACTCCATTGAAGGTTAATTATACGCAGTGTCAAAGTTAGCCATAAAATCCCTTCTGCGGGTCTGGTCCGATGGGTAGGATACTCTTTCTCTAATTAGGCAACAGAGCTGACCAATCAATTCTATCAGATTCAGAAAATTCTTGTAGTATGAATTTTCAGTGTAGTTCTTTTGAATTTTATTTTTAGTTCAAGGGAGTGATTTTTCTTTTCTTAATTTTAACCCTTAAAACACCATAGGGAAGAAAAGAAAACAATAAGAATAAAAGAGACTTGAGAAAAACTAACGAAGCTATAAAAAACTTGAGGAAAAATATTGGTTCTGTTCTATAACATAGTTTTTACAGCTTTTCTTTACATGGTGATGAATTGGATTTGGATGAATACTTTAGAATATGTTCATATTATTTTCATGATTCGATCACAAAGAGGTTCGTGTTGTTTTGAAACTTTAGTTACGCTTACTCTTTGTTTTTCCTTCTATTTTGGTGCTCGATGATACGAGAATGTAATTAAGCTTTGTACTTCTTTTTTGCGTGATAGTTCTAAACGTGCTGAAGTCCCTAGGTATGTAAGGAAAGATGATGCTGAGGCTGCAGTGGATGGAGTTAAGGAAGAACTCAAGAAACTCAACAAGGGCGTGGGGGCGTTCTTGGAAGGATTGAAGTCGTCGAAGTGACCATTTCTATAGCGGTTTCAACTTAAAAGACCATTTGGTAGGTTTGAGTAACTGAATGATTGTTATTTATAGTAGTGTTGAGAATTGAATTTTCTTTTTCGTGTACATGGTATGCTGTGTCTGCTGTATTTTGATGATGGTTTTAGCTTGCCACTGGTTTTTTCTTATTGTTGTTTATGGACTTCTATATTCCTTTTCCGATTTAAGCCGGCAGAAGGGAACTTTCATGGGCAAGGTGGTGTGTAACGACAGGCATATTAGGAAGGTGGTGCTGTATTTTGATGATGGTTTTAGATTGCCCCCATGAAGGCAAGCAAGGGGGATCTCTGCCTGCACTAGAGCTTATGGGGCTTGGAAGATTGGCAAAAGATAAAGCAAGAATGCTCTGAATGGGCCAACGGAAAAGGGTGCAGCTTGCAAGGTTGCTGGCAATTGATCGGCCAATTTGGTTGTTAGGCAAGCCTTCAGTAGCATTGGATACTGAAGGGGTTAAGTTGGTGGAGTACTGAAAGAAAGGAGGGATTGTGATTGTGGTCACACATCTGCCAATTGAGATTGATGATGCAATGCATTTGAGGTTGCCACCAAGGTTTCCTCGAAGGATGACTTTAGTAGACATGCCTGATGGAGCTGGTTAGAGAATTGAATTGGTAATGTAATTAACCCTGCAAGAACTGGGACTGAACTATAAGAGGCTTTCTGGAAGGTTGAAAAGTTTGGCAAAAAATAAAAGCTTTGAAAACTCTAACAGGGAGAAGTGCAATCCTCAACATGGAGGCAGTTAGTTTGCTTGAGAGTTGAAAGAAATTGTAGTTTCATTGTCCATTGCATTTCAGTACAGCATATATGTATTATTTGTTGGTGATTTCATGTAATGTTTTGCTGGATTCTAAAATCCTGACAATTTTAGATTTGAACTACCGAAATTCCCTTTGTTTAGGGTAAAGCATGACAAAAACTAGATTTGATTAGAAAAATATCAGTTTTGGAATGTTCACTGTTCTTAATTAAGGGGGAATGTTGACATTTTTTTAAAATTCCAGGTTGTAGAAATTCATTTAGGGTCACATCAATTTTTTCAAGAATGATTTCAGAGTTGGATAAGGACCAAAACATAATTTGATTGCATTTTGAAACTACAGCAAAATAAATTGTGTCCTAGGAATTGAAACATTGTGGCATTGCGGTATTGGAATGAAAAAAGCAATACATATTAGCTTTAGCTACTAATGTAGAGTTAGCGTTGGCTAATTGCCTTTATCTCATATTTATTAGTGTCACATTTTTTCTTTTAATCAGGTTTTGTTTACATGTGTGTTTGAAAGTCGAATGGCTTTGATGGGCGAATGAACTTTGAGAATTTCCAACCCAAACAACACTTTAGTTGGGAATAGGGGATTAAATGGCTCAAATATCCTCCATCTTTTACCAATATGACAGGTCATGCTTGTTCTTTTTGTTAAACCTAAATGACCATAATACCCTTCACACTAGGCTACCCAAATCGACCAACCTGAAAAAATAAAAAGGGCAAACAAGGAAAAGAAAAGAAAAGCAGGGCCCATAAATAGATGACTTGGGCCGAGCTTAAGTTTGCACTCGGAAAAAGAATGGGGCTCGTTCAGAGTGATGGGATGTTTCTAAGGGTGGTTGCCCCTCTCTGTAAACGATGATCTCCTACAAAATAAGGAAGATCTTTTAGAGCCAATGATTTCATTTCCTACAGAATCAACAGCCCTTTGTGTATGTGTGTGTGTGTGTGTGTGTATATATATTTGTGTGTTTGTGTGCGCGCGCTGGACTGGTGCATCTCCAATCCTTCTTCTTCCATCATCATCATCAACAATCAAAATATAAGAGGCTGTGATGATATATGTTCTGAGTGGATCATACTGGCATTGAGAATCGGATCCGTTTGTTGGCGGGGCAAACCAGAGGGTCTGTGGGAGAGAGATTTGGTTCTTCTCTCACAGGCAACTGTTGTTGCAGCCATGGCGGTGGGATATACTCTTGCCCTGATCAAAAGCAGATCTGAGCCTCACCATTTTTCCTTATATGCATGCATATATATCAAAATGTATACTACATATATGTGTATACATTTTCTTTTGTGAGGTTTTGTTAGAAGGGTCTTTTACTCTTTTGTATGCATCGATGGAATTTCTTTAGTTTGGTAATGGAAGGCACCCTTCATATGAAGTAAGAATTGGTGTTTTTACAGTAAAGTGTCAAGTTGAATATATATAATGTTGTGACAACAAGGCTATGTTTGGTACAGTAAAAAAGAAAAGGAAAGTATAAAGTTAGGAAAAAAAAAAAAAGGAGAAGTAGGGAAAAGAAAAGGAAAGTATAAAGTTAGGAAAAGAAAAGGAAAGTAGTAAAAAGTATAATGTTTGGTTAAATGATAAAGGAAAAAAAAGAAAATTGTAATAATTGGGGAAAGAAAAGGAAAGGATAATATTTTGTTAAATAATAAAGAAAATAAAAGAAAATGATAACAATTAGGAAAAGAAAGGAAATAATATTATACTTTTTTATATTTAAGAGGTAAATGTATAAGATTAGGATTGGATTTAAAATATTTTTTTATTTTCTGGTGTTTGATAAAACATTAAAATTTTATAAAAATAATTTAACCATCAATTTTCGAAATTATTTTACATGCCCTGATGGACTGGACGACCTCAATTTTGACGTAAATCTTTGCTAAACACTGACAAAGTAAAAATTAAATAAATATTTTATCTAAAAATATATATATATTTTCTAAAAAAAAATATTTTACTAGCTTTAGTATGTAATTTTTTAGCATGACACCCACAACTAAGCTGGAAAAATAAAAAGAAAAATGAGCCCATTGCTAATCTCTTCACAAACCAACTAGAACTCTGATTAATAGGAACCCCACAAAACAAAGCGTCTATGTCAAAAGCTGAGTTTGGAAAATCAGCAGAAGCTATCAACATCCTATCGCCGTTTGAGCAATCACACGGTGCAACACGCTTTTGTATTTGTCATTAGTGACCACCTGTATAATCTGTATTTGTTAGAAGTACCCATGAATCCTAATTAGCAGTAAAATAATTGACTATGTGATATATTACAACAATTTGGGTTATAAATATGTAGTGATGTTACAAGAGTCAAAAAAAACAGTTTATAATAAAATTAAACTAGCTTGAAGAAGCAGAACCTGAAGCATATCAGAAAGTCTTAATTTTGACTAACCTAAATAGTATAATTGTCAAAATACCAGGCCAAAAGTAAGAGTAAATATGATATTAACAAAATCACATTAGCCTCTCTTCCCCTTTTCTTTTATTTTTAGTAGGAGAACAAAAGTTACTTTTTATACTTTAGTCTTTCCTTCCAAACCCCACCATTCCCGCCTTAAGTCACATAGAACGAGAGCGGGAGCTGGAGCGCGAGAGCGACATATCTCAAAAAATCTTAAAGCGGAAGCGCCACTAGAGCGCCGCATTATAAATATATAAAATATTAATTTATAATAGTAAATATATGTTTTAAATAAATTTGATGCAAATAAAAAGACAAAATAGTGAATCAAATATGAGTCCATTACAACCAATATAACTTTTTTTTATAAGAATGCATAAATTAACAAACATGACAATCAAACAAGCTACTTTATAAAAATAAAAACATAACAGTGAATAGAACATAATAGAAAAAGTAATGTTCAAAAATATTATCTTTTATACATTTAACTTTTTTTAAACTCTCAAGATGACAATCATTGTCTTTGAAATAGTAATGTTCAAAAGATGACAATCATTGTCTTTGAAATAGCAATGTTCAAAAACATATGAAAAATATATGAAATAGCAGAGAGAATATGAAATGATGGAACGAGAATAAGATTATAAGAGTAATCAAGAGTCAATTACTAGTGAAAGAAGTTCAAGAATCACAAACCCGACACTTAATAGCAGAGAGAAAATTGAGAAATCACAATCAGAATATGCAAAGTTATTCATTCATTTATTTCTTTACTAATAAATAAGTATTATTAAATATTAAGTATATTGTATTATTTAATTTTTACCTATAAAGGATAGAGTTTACTTAATTAAATTAAATTGATTACTTTTTGACATAATTAACCTTATTTAGTCTATTTAAGTTGGGGGTAAAATCGAAATTTCTCAAGATTCACACTAAATTCGTGAATTTATTGTCAAAAGTCAAGAATTGTCAAAAGTCGTCGAATTCTTGAACAAAATACGCGATTTTACCTTACATAATTCATCAAATTGAACTTTAAAAACCAACGAATTCTTAAATTGAATTCGCGAATTCAAAAACATGAGAGCGTGAATTAAAAAACATGAGAACGTGAATTTTTGGCGAATTCGCTCTCAAAACGCCAATTCGCCACGGAGCGATGGAGCGCCAGTGGTTTGAGCGAATTATTTAACTTGGTTCCACCCCTTTCCATCTAACGTTTTATACCAAATACAACTTTTTATTTTCTTTCATTTCCTTTCTTTTCTTTTTTCTCCATTTCCATTGTTCCAAACTGAGCCTAAATGTTTTTCATTCCCTTTTATTAAATTAAAATACAAGGGTTGTGTTTGAACTTTAACAGCCATAAAAAAAAATATATGGAGATGGACTGTAGAACAATTAAGATTCATTACAAGCCGGTTAAGCCCTTGATCATGGGTCATAGCAGTATGTTTTGTTAGGAAAACTGAAATTTTTAGTACATGAAGTAACATGAATGTACTAAAGCAAAAATCTGATTAATATACTTTCCGAAAAAAAAAAATCAGATTAATATCTTTTATGAACTATATACAACAGTACAAAAAATAGGAATGACGTTTATCGCGCTACCATTTGGGTAATTGTTGTCTGATTAATTGACCAAGTTCCTTGCCGCAATGCAGATTCATTTTCCATATCTTCATCCTTTTTTATAGAAAAAGCAGGCCATTTCGGAGTATTCATAGCAATAGTTTCATTTTTTAGCATGTCTGAAACTTCCAACGTGGATGGTCTATCTGTGGGATGTTCCTGGACGCATAACAGACCTATATGCATGCATCTCATCAATTTACACGAAGAACGTGTATTGTCTAGTGACGGATCCATAAACTCCATCCCATTGCCTTCTTTCCAGAGTTCAAATGCCTGAAACAATACAATATTGTGAATCTATATAATTTGGAGAGAGAAATTTTAAGTGCATTACCCAAATTAAGGTTCCAGAGTAACTAACATAATATTCTGCTTGCCACTGATGATTTGCAAAACCAGAACTCCGAAGCTATAAACATCCGATTTTGTGGAGTATATACCATGTTTTACATATTCAGGGCAGAAATAACGACTGCATTGCATGAACCAACAAAAAGAAAAATAAGTATTTAAAATTGTTATTCATTTTTTTGGAAAGTCCTTGCCAAAATCTGATATCTTAGGCTTCATCTCACTGTCCAATAAAATGTTTCTAACTTTCAGGTCTCTATGAATTACTGCGAGTCTTGAGTATTCTTGGAGATATAGCAGCCCCTGAGAAACTCCTTCATTGATGTGAACTCGTTTTTCCCAATCTAAATGTAGCCTTCTAATTGGATCTTCATCAAATTACATTTAAATATGACGATTAGTTGCAGCTTTTTGAAGTTTTATGAAGCAAAAAATAGAAGAAACACATGCAGCAATTCATATAATTTACATGAACTTCGTGTGGTATTGCACAATAGAAGTATTCTCTAAAGTGCAACCCCCATGTAGAATTGCACAACTTTTTCAGAAAAATTTATTTGAACCATCAAATTATGCTTACCATAGATGTAGTAATCCAAGCTTTTGTTCGCCATGTATTCGTAGACCAGCATCTGTTCTTCTTTCTCAGTGCAGAATCCCAGAACTCTTACCAGATTTAGATGTTGCAGCTTTGCCGTAAGCATAACCTCTTTTTTGAATTCTTCAAATCCTTGTGTAGAAGTCTTCGAAAGCCTTTTCACCGCTATTTTTAGTCCCTTCTGTAATGTACCCTGCCAAAACAAACATGCACACATTTTGTATATTTCACAAATTTAGCTATTTTATTATGCCTAGTGTTAATTTGATAGAACTAACACTCAACAGAGCATACCCGAGACTAGACACTGATTACTTTTTCCATTATGAAATCACTTCTTTTCCAACGCTTAAATATCAACTACACCTTTTTTAACTCAATTTTGCCTATTCCTCAAACTACACATTTTAAACTTGTACCATTGTTAATTAAGGATACTATTAATCAAAAAAAATGTAGAGCATCTTTCGGGGCTTCTGCATAAATATGGAGATCAAATATTTACCTTGTATACAGGGCCATATCCACCCTCTCCCAGCTTATTTTCAAATGAAAACTTGTTTGTTGCTACTTCAATGTCACCAAGACTAAATACTTGCAAATTAGGAGCATTATTACCTCCAACAGCCGTCATACTAATTCCTAGTTTAGACTTTGAATGATTGTGTTTGTCCCCGTTCCTGGAAACGAAACAAAAAAGAAAAATTAAACACCAAAAGGTCCAAATAATTAAGTATTAGTCTCTTTGAATCATGGTAAAAGATGGTGAATTTTCACAGTTGGCACAGGTTGCCTCTTGATTTAAGCACTCTCTTCTGCAGATACCAAATCAAGGCACTTAGTAGGAGAATAGCAGATGCTCCAGTTGTAAGCAATATTATTAACAAGCGTAGCTTGTTTTTATGATCCTTACCAACCTCCTGAGCTGTGAAGAAATGTCTCATATAAAGATCATTTAGCATTTCTACGTTTAGTTTTTGTTCAGCCTCTAGATCTTTTTGTTGCAGAACTAAAAGACGTTTAGTAGTTCTTATGGAAAAACAACACTCTCACTGCAGCGCTAGTTAAATTCAGCAATGACAACCAACATATTCTATGAAAATTCAGTAAGCCAAAGAAACAGCTCAAAGCAATTATATATAGAAATACAGAAAAGTAATGGAAATTCTTTATCCTATTGAAATTATTCATTTTATAAAAAAGATAAAAACTTTCTTGTGTTCACAACTTTAACAGTACGATTCCCTTTCTTTTATGCCTACATAGAAGTAAGTTAAACCCTCCGTTTTTCATGGAAATAGATTTTTACGGTAAATAAAGAGGAGGTAAAAAAAATTATTGGTTAAAATATAGGTGAAATAAAACTGAGGGATAAGGTGAAAAGAGAAAATTACTCAAGCAAGAAAAATTAAAGATGAACAAGTAAATTAAAGATAAACAAGTAAAAAACAACACAGATAAAAGATGTTTTTATCATGGAAATAGTTACAATGAATGTATCATAGATAGCCAAGCATAGAAACTTTATTGTGGCTTTTGAATTTGCTTCAAGATTCCCTTTATGCCTACACATTAACATTTGTTACTCGAGAAAAATTCAATGCAAAAACAATTTCCACGGAAATAAGCAGAGTTAGCAGAAGTTTCTATTGCTTACCAGACAATTAAAAATAGCTCGTTGACACTTGACACCCTTAAACTCTCTCCTTGACCAATTCTTATTTAAACAATTAAAGAAGTCATTTTCTTTGTTTGAAAGAAAGTTCAAATTATGAAGAACAGTCCTGCTAATTAACTGACTTGGGTAATTCCATGTTAAAAACATTTAGCAAGAAAAATCAGTATTAAGGCCACTCAACTGACTTTGTCAATTCCCACATTGTACATGTTGAGAGAATCACAATATATATTATAAATTATACAACACTTACCAGCTTGAGAGAGCACCCAATTGTCATCATTAGGCGCTTGCCACACAACGTAACCTAGTAAATTCTCCTCTTTCGCATAAGCAACCTTAATTTTGACAGCCTCAACATCATCAAAACCAATCCAAGTTGATCCGATAGTGCAGTAATTCACCACATAAGTTGCATTGTACATTGAAACAGCTCCATTCCTCTGAATGTAACTGTTGATGTCTTTATATTTCATCGACCCATCTTTGGTTTTGGCTGGACCTTTTTCAGGTGCACCAATTGCACTGTCATTTGGGTTCACTAGTGTCCATGCATAGCCATAGAAAGGCAACCCCAAAATCATCTTGTTGGCTGCTAATCCATCATTAATCCACGCATTTATACCATAATCAGTATCTTGATCACTTGCTGGATCATACAAAGCAGCATGTGCCCCTGTATTGTTTGCCCATGTAGGCATATAGTAATCATATGCCATAACATGTACCCAATCTTAGTTCCTCCACATAGCCTCAATTGGAAAACTAACCGAATCACCAAGATATGGTGAGTAGTGAACAGCCATTGTTAGAATATGTTGCGACCTACGAAAGTTTCTTGACTCGGATTCTATAGCGATTCGCCACTCATCAAGAAGGATGGCCATATTGGCCATGTCAGATTCAGTACTCAGCGAAACCCAACAAAAGTCTAGGCCATGAAACCCATAGAATCTTGCTGTTATTATTGAAGACTGAATGAAAGACTGCCTAGAAGAAGATTGGCTGATCATTGAAGAATAGAGTGAAGAGTTGGCTAGTCCACCACCAATGGATAAAAGGGTTACGACTGACGGATTCTTTTGCTTGATGGTGTCGGTGAAGGTGGAGAAGTAGTTGTCGTCTGAAGCAGAGATGGAGAGTTGGTATGTGGAAGAGTTGAGGCCTGCATAAGCACATATAAGGTGAGTGAAGAGACTTGAAATTATATCAGTGGTAGGGAATTCGCTACCAGAATACCAGTAACCAGCTTTAATCCATGTGAGTGTTCCAGAAGCTGAGTATGGAAGCTGGAAAAGAAGAAACAGGAGGGAGAAGAGGGTAATCATACTGTTAGGTCTTGAAAAAAAGTTCATTTTGGACGTAAAACTATGCTTCAAACATTTTCAACTGCACTTATTCTCCTCACTATTTTACACAGTCCAAACCTTTAAAAGCTAGCTGGATTAAGTTGAATGGGCACTATTCTCAATTCAGTCAAAACTATTGGCTGGGTAATTCTTCAGTCTATTCTTTAATGTCAAGGAAACATTTTTTACTTCATGTGGTCGAATTAAGTAGCAACAGGTGACCATGATGTGAAGCCATGGGAATTGGCCACTTAGGGAACCACATGCGGCAGTAAATGGTAACACGTATATTTAAGGATTGGGGTTTGAGTAAATCAAAGAAGCAAGTCAACGTATGAGGAAGGTAACTCAATCTCAGCAACTGAGGTCCTAATGAAAAAGAATGATATTTGAAGAAACCTGCAGAGGACCTGGCTCACCAAAGGTTTGACTCAAATCAAATTCAAAAAGTAAAGAAGATCAAGGAAAGAAGATACTGCAGCAAAGAATTAGAAAAAGAGGTTGGGTTGAACTTACTATAAATAAAGGAACCATTTTATTTTCAAGCCATGCAATTTCTTTATAACCATTTTCCTTTATGCAGTTTTCATTTCAATTCATTTACATCCCACATTATTTTATTATCATTCTAATATTTTTTACCTTCAAGTCCTTACATCAAGGAAGTAAGAACTTAGTAGAAAGTTGTTCCTATTATCTCTTCTGCACAATCGCCTAAATCAACCATAAAAGGGATAGTTGACGTCCAATCTCTTGAGTTTAATATAGACTCTGGCGCGCAACCCATCACTCTTTAATCGGCCACTTGTTTATGGTTGGGGTTGTCACCTAGGGCGACCAATCGGACTCAGTGCAGTGCTTATGACAAGAACAAGTGCCATCGGCCCGACTTAAGTGTGACCGGCCGGTCGCACTTGCCTCATTAGCGTTATGGTGATTTGTTCGACTTCCAATATGTTTAGCACAAATGGACCAGCTACTCAACATAATATCCGAATCAGATGATTTGATTAATCAAATTGAGCTGACAAAGGAGAAACTAACACTAACTTTAATGCAATAAAATCCCTTGTATTTGCAAAGTCAAGAACTTTGAATCTTATAACCGATTTTGATTCAATTTTTATATACGTTTTTAACTTTTCAGATTACTTCGAAAAGTAGAGAACATTTCAAAATTTTGTTTGTCAGTTTTTGTAGAACGGACTTCCAATATTAGACAGCAAAGCCATGGCCTACGTACCTCCATATTCCAAATGTCTGCAGCCTCTGTCTCTCCTCTACAGAAACCCCGTCGCACTTGTTCGGCCCATTTGGAACTTTTTGCAAACACAATTGGGGCAGACCTTATTGGCTGGATGTCGCATCACTAGGGAAACCCAAGAACAACAGCAACTCTGTCAACAAACTCGGAAAGAGAATAATAGAAGAATCTTCAGAGGAATATGGTTCTATCAAGAATCACAGGCTCAATCAAAGAGAGGTTACGCCCCTCATCAATGAAAAATTCAGCTTCGGCTAGGAGAGTTCGACACAACTGAGACCTTCCATCCTTCTTCGTTGGCCCTCCGGACATCTCTTTCTAAGCTGCTCCGACACAGGAGCAAGCTGAGCAGTGAGCACCACTTGTGGTCCACCGGATTCGAAAATTAGTGGCAACTCTGACGAGCAACAGAGGTTGAGTCTAACGGTCCTTCGGTTTAATACTTTAATGCTATTTTGTGGGCTTAATATTCAGCCCAGTGCTTTTGATTAGCTTTGGGCCTGGTCTTCCTTAGCCCACATCCCAATTGACTTTGTACGTATCTATACTTGTACAGAAATTACACACATTTCCTGATGTTTGGACAAATTTCCTAAACCCATTCACTCGTTGTCTAAAATGACTTGGAATGTGAAAAGTTAATAATTTACTTATATTATGATAATATATTGTATTGTTTTCTATAGCAGAAAATGAGAAATTCATCATTTAATAAATTTAGTCAATAAATTTGTCGATAAGAAAACTTTAGGAGTATCAATATGTCGTTCTCACATGTACTAAATGTCAGAATAAGTCAAAGTAATAACGGTAATTTTTTCAAACCTAGTAGTATAAGTTATGGATGTGATGACCAAGTTTTTTTTTTTTTTTTTCTTTTTATATACATTTTTTTTATTTCATTTTGTTATGTTATGGGGCCTAGATTGACTAGTGGATGAGATATATGTGGATGAGGATGTGTGTGACATGTATATGTGTGTTTGTATAGAGAGAGAGAATGAAAGACAAACCAAACCCTCTCATTCTTCCACTCCACCGACACTTTCTCTTCTCTCTCCCATTCTTTTCTTGTTCATTTTACTTCAACCATTTCACCTCCAACCTTTGAGATTTTGAGCTTGCATAGAAGGGAAGTTGACGGGGACTACGAGAGGAACAAAACCCCTCAATCAATTTCAGATTTGGAGCACATTTTTCCTTTGGAGTAGCTAAGGTTTGCTCCTAGCTTGAGGTAGGGGTGTATTGTGCTTATAACCTAGGAGTTCTTGGAATTTTATGACCATTGTGTGAGTTATGCATACACTTGTGTGTGTGGGTTGAATTAGAAAGCTTATATAATGATTTAATTACATGTCATAATGTTTTATCGAGTTTTTATGATAATTTTCATGTGTAACATACTATTTGTTCCATTTTTTATATTATTGATATTTATTAAAGTGTTAGATTTTAGTGTGTGCAATTACTTGTAATTAAAGTGTCTTACATTTTGTGGTTGTTCATGGATTTTTATATATTTGTTATTTTGTAAGGGTTAACTTTGAATATGTACATTTTTATAATGACATTAAACTTTTAATGACATTAAACTTTTACATACTTGAAACTTGATATAATAACAATATGAAATCACATGACTTAAAAATACCCAATTTGTTGACATTAATCAAAGAGTATGCCATTATAGTGACTTAGACCATAGGACATGGATTGTGTGATTAGTATAATTTATGTGCACATGTGAAGTACAATTTGGGCATATCATGGTATATGAATTATTTTGTGGATTTGTTTGTTGATTTTAGGAGATACTCAGGGGTTGTTACTTTGAGAATGTGAGGGCTTGGCGCTCGCGGGTGAAACATGAGTTTCCCCACTTTATATTGGTCAATCGGTTAGTTTCTGGTAGACTTTTAATCCAAAAACAATTATTTTTATTTAGGTGCATAGCATGGCTATGTGACCGGGAGTGTGGGTGTGTTCCGAGTTATCCCATTAATTGATTTCGACTTTTATTTTCAAGTTGACATTTATGTGTTATTGCAACTTGTGTATTTATGTACATTACACTATATTATTTATGCTTGTCTTGATGAATGAATAAATATTATTTATGCTAGATTAGGATGATCCTATTTAGGTTCCCTTGAGACTAGACGTTAGGGAGTATGTTCCTTGTATTGTATGGCCATGCAATGTTTATAGAATTTTGAGAAACCTAGTTTATATTCATAAGACGTTCTTACGAAACAATTCGTTGCTCACCCCGTTGATTCTTATATTTTTCAGGAAAGGGCATTGCACTAGAGGAGGTTCCTCATCCCTAGCTTGATTGGGATATTGACAACATTTTTGAGCTACTTGTGATAATTGTAACATGCATTGTGTAGCTTACTTTTAGACTTGTATTGTAACTCATGGTGTATTTGGATAATGTATTTGATGATACATGTTTGTAATATTCTGTTGGAAGGGGAAAATGACTTAGGAACTCACACATCCATCTTTGGAGTTCTTATGGAATTTCCTCTCTTATCTCAATTCATGTAATCCCATAACATTATTTCTCACCTTATGGTTTTAATGAGGCCATGGAGGCCATAATTTCTACTTGGATTATATATGTACCATTTTCTATTTAATAACCTTGAAATTAAATTTTTAGACTTGTGGTGGAATTAAAACAATCACTATATGATGTATGTAAACACGGGTGCACTTAATTAGATTAATGTAAATAATTTATTAGATATGAATTTAATCACAAGTGGATCGTGATCGTGGCTTCCATGTATCTAAATTTATTATAGGTCCTTTAATTAAAGTCATGTACTAACTTGTCCCCATGAATATGTTTGGTCTGATATATATATATATATATATAACATTTACATTCATACTGCATTATTTTATACCTTGTTTATTTTCCCATTTATATTTAGGAATGGATTTTGGGGCTGGCAATGTTTTCCATACTGGCAGATCGTCCAACTCACCTAGCTTGTTGGCCATATGTGCCAATTTGTCATTTTAATTTCACGCCTACTGTTTTGCCAACCTTCAAAAAATTATTTTCCTTAAAATTTATTATTATTATTGTTGTTGTTGTTGTTGTTGTTGCTGTTTATATGGTAAATGACACCGATTTTTCTCCAATTAATTATTTATTTTCTCAAGTGAATCTATTTATTTATTTATTTTTATATTTATTTTCCTTCCTTTTTTTCGCGACCCGAGTCGTGGGATTTGGGACGTGACAATGGAACTACAACGTTGCTTGTAAACATAGGAGAAAAGTAGAATGATTTTGAAGTGGTCTTTGTAGACAATTAATTGATTCCAAGTTCCAACGCCAAATTCAAAAAAAATTTAGATGGAGTAACTGGGATTCTTCAATAAAAGACCCCTTTACACATTTACCTAATCACCATAGCATTAGTTATCCAAAAAACAAATATACATATATAAATATATATATATATATATATACACACATACACACACACACACATATATATGGTTAAATTTGGGAGTGAAGTTGGGGAGTTACAAAATGGGCTTTTGGAACAGAAAGTAGATGGCTTGCAGATGTGTTCTTTTAAGGCCTGTTTGGCTGGGCTTTCTGTAGCCTCAAAACAGACTTCTAAGCTTAAAAAGCTGGGGAGTTACAAAATGGGCCTTTGGAACAAAAAGTAGATGGCTTGCAGATGTGTTCTTTTAAGGCCTATTTGGCTGGGCTTTCTGTAACTTCAAAACGGACTTCTAAGCTTAAAAAGTCATTTGCAAATAATAAAGAGCGTTTGGTAAAATTTCTAAAAATGCATTTTTAAAAAGTCTTAGTGATTTAGAAGTCCGATTGACCAAAACCAATAAAACATGCTTCCTAATCGACTTCCCGCAAGTTACACAATTTTTTAAGTAATAAATAAAAAATTCATATATTGTCCATTATTTAACCTATTTTCATTTCTAAATTTCATTGCAAACTTTTATCTTTCTATTTTTGTATCATCTTTTTTTTTTTTTTTTGAAAAGTTATTTTTATTTTTTATTTATTATATTTTTATTTTTTATATCATCTTTTTCCTTCGTTCTCTACCCAAAAAATAAAAAAAAATAATGCTGAGCAAAATTTCACATAACTTTATTGAAAATAATATTTTTAAAAAATAATTCAACAAAGGAAGAACAAAAAGATTAAAGAGTAGTAGGAAAAAATATTATTGACTCCTATTTGACTTCATAGTCTGAAGAGTTCCAAGATTTATGAATTCTGATCCAAAATTCAATCCTATGTAGAATTCAAAATAATTTTTCTTTCTATATATATATATATACACACACACACACACACACATATATATATATATAATTTTTTTTTTTTCTTTTTTGAAGGCTACCCGTTCCGCTATTAAAGTGATTTATAGTTATAAATAAAAATAAAAATGGAATATTTTTGCTGTCATCTCTCTCTTTCGTTTTATTTTTCTTTTCTTTTCTTTTTCCATCTATTTCAACCTTTATCATGTGGTTAAGGGGGAAAAAAATTCTACCATGTAGATTGGGTTAAATTTGTATACCTAGATCTTCACTATGCTAATTAATCGTTGTTGCATCATTACTGATAAGGAGAATTTAAACAAGAGATAAGATGACATGGTTCAACTCGGTAAGGATAACCTCGGCACAATTTTAAGTTCAAAGGGGTAGATCATCTCCCCAAAAAATCTGGCAACAAACGAACCTCCTCTGATCTCGCAAACAAACTAAGGAAGAACGGCTATAAGAATTTTTCCTACCAATCAATCGGGTATGACGAAAAACGATTATTAAATCATTTACTTTCTTTTAGACCTCCGATGACTGACTTGATTGTCAGAGAGCTCTTGGCAGGCTCCACACCAGTGTCGTCAAGATTTATCGATCTTCTACTCTCTTCTTTGCAGGAAAACGGTGTCGTACCGGACCGCACGAATTTCTTCCCCAACAATTGGCGCCGTCTGTGGGAAACGATGATTCTCTTAAATCAATAAATTACTTTGTTAGGTATATGCATTTGCGGTCTGGTATGGTAACTGGAGAAAAAAAATCGTTGTAGGGATCCAGTCAAAGAAAAGGGTCGAGTGAACACCCAGATGTCCCAAACGACCAGGAACGGCTTACAGCGTTGGAACTACAGGTCCAAACTCTGAATCAGGGTATGGACCAGTTGATCCAGCAAAATGCAGCAATCCTACAACATCTTATCCCAGCAGGACCACCACCTCAACAAGAATTGTCCAACCCATATCCTCTCACTATGAATGATAGGGGAGAAAATGGGGAGGACCAAGATAACGATCCTCCTCACGAGTTCGAGGCAGAACAAAGCCAAGTCGTGAACTGACACAAAGAACCTCCTCATCCGCCTCCGTGAAATCCCCAGCCTTAGACAGGCACAACCTTCTGTGTTGAGGAGAAGACAGTGAAAGTTACCTATTTCGACCTACAGATCGAGAATCTCAAGGTGAAAATAGAAAATGTAATGCAGGCTATGAAATGGAAAGGTCCTACAGCCATAGATAACCTAGTGCAGAGGACCAACTTGTCGTTCAGCCTCACCGTTATGAAATGCCCCATGCCTAGCAAGTTCAGGATGCCCTCTTTTGAAAGATTCGATGGGACCAAAGATCCCCTCGATCACCTGGAGACCTTTCAAGCTCTTATGTATTTACACGCTATGCTGGATGAAATCATGTGTCGAGCCTTTCCCACGACACTTAAAGGATCGACAAGAGTTTGGTTCAACAAGTTGAAGCCAAGAACCATCGACACCTTCGAAGAACTGAGTAAGCAGTTTGTGAGCCACTTCATTACAGGTTAGAGGCATAGGAGGCCAGCCACCTACCTGCTAACTGTGAAGCAACAGAAGGGAGAGTCGATTCGGGAATATATCACCCGATTCAACATTGAGATGTTGTTGGTAGAAGAGGTGGATGACAAGGTAGCTTTGACTGCTTTCATATGAGGACTCCAAACCTCCAGATTCTTGTTCTCCTTATCAAAAGAACTTCCCACCAACATGGCAGAGTTATTGATCAGAGAGCAGAAGTACATGAACGCTGAAGACGCCATGAATACACGGAAGGAAAATGAATGAGAGGACAAGAAGAGGTTAGCCCCTAGCGCCAGGGATGAAAAATATACCAAATATAAGAGATCATTCTTAGCCAAAACGATATGACATATCATGAGAAGGACTCAAATAAGTATACCGACTACACTCCTTTGAATATGTCAATTGACCATATATTCTTACAGATCCAAGACGATGCGTCTTTGAAATAGTCACAGAGGATGAAGTCTGATCCAGTGAAAAGATCTCGAGATAAGTATTTCAAGTTCTATCGAGATCATGGGTACACTACGAATGATTATTTTGACTTTAAGAATTAGATTGAAATCTGATTCAATTGGGTCACTTACAAAAGTTCGTTGCCAATGAAGGGACAAACCCTAATAAGCGCCTTCTGGGGCAGCAATCAATTGAGGAAATTAGTATCATCTCTGGATAAGTAGACCTGGAATAATAAATCCAACTCGGCTCAGAAGGCTAGCATGATAAAAATTGCCTCACGGTTGAAATTAGCCTTATCAAGTCACTCAAAATAAAGACTGGGGGCATGACAGTTAATCATTTTAAATGGAGGATAGCACGCTCAAATGTTATTTTGTTTTCCAATAAAGTCACCATCACCAATGAGATAGATGACCCTCATTTTTTACGCAATAAAATATTATGTTTTTAGTTACCTACCTATGTAGTAATGTTTTACAGAAAGCTAACAAAAAACCAAGCTCCTTTACTAAAAAGATTAGGCGAGCAAAGCTCATGAAAACAGTTCCCTTACTAAAGGGACGAACTGAGTGAAACTCGTAAAACCTAATTCCCTTACTAAAGGGAGGAGCTGAGTGAAACTCGTAAAAATTAATTCTCTTACTAAAGGGACGAGCTGAGTGAGCCTGTAATTATTCCCTTGCCAAAAGGATGAGTTGACTGAAACCCATAAAATCTACAAATAGAATATTGGATTTTCAAAAGAAAAATCCAACTTTACATCACTAAGAGTCATTAACCTTGGGTTTGAACCCATACCCTTCCAAAACAAAACATTGATTTGGTATCTGTATTAATTCCACCATTGGGAAGAGTATCTCGATGTACCGTTCACCTCGGAAAAGAAATCAAAAAAAAAAAAGGTACGCGCGGGAACAATACCCTCGAAAACAGTGACAGAGGGTAAAAAAAATTTGTACCCGCGGGAATAATGCACGAGGGTAAAAAAAAAAAAAATTACATTTCCAAAGCCAGACGAGCAAGCTTGGGAATGTGGGGCAACTGATGATAAGGAGAATTTATACAAGAGATAAGATGATGTAGTTCAACCGGGTAAGGATAACCTCGGTACAATTTCAAGTTCAAAGGGATAGATTTTCTCCCCAACAAATCTGGCAACAAACTAATCTCTTCTAATCTCGCAAACGAACTGAGGGAGAGCGGCTATAAGAATGAGACACCAGTCAATCAGGTATGACGAAAAACGACTATTAAATCCCTGCCTTTCTTTTAGACCTCC